GAGACAGGCTGGGGGGGGGGGGGACAACAGGACGACACGCCAAAAACGCCAGCGGAAACGCCAAGAGAGGCGGTGGGTGACTACTGTTGCCATGGCAGCCAACTGTTGTTGCTCTAGCAACTGTAGAGCAGTTGCCATGGAGACTGCGAGAGGCTGTTGCCATGTGGAGCACGACTGATGTGCGCGGGGTCAAAGTTGACAGATTAGGAGAAGAACAGAAGGATCCTACATCTTTGGAGCCACTCATAAATTCGGACTTAAGGTCCTTGCACACAGAATCCGAAATGTTTGTTTGCGTTTTTTCGGGGTTTTTTTGTATTTGTCATCCTTTCCTATCAAAATGCTTTCTACGGATGCGAAAACGCAGAAAATGGAACCTGGTCCCAAGTTTCGGAGGCAGCGTGTGTGAGGTTGTGTTTATTTGTGATTTCGGACTCGGTGTGCAATTATGCTTCACTTTCGCCGAGCAATGGTAAATGTGAGCGCGCATTAACTCTAATTACTTTAGCTGCACTAATTATTCTATTCACCATGAAATCTAAATGCGCTCTTCTTATTTGTTTATGGAATAATGTAGTGTTTATTATAATATTTGTAATTCATGCACCCATGTAATTTTCACTCAAAAGTGACGCGTTTCGCTGTTTAGATAAAGTTGAAAAACTTGTTGAAAAGCAGCTAATCAGTCATTTATGCAGGTTAATTATTTATGTGTCGACTAACATATGGTGGCTTTAAGTCCTCCTGGAAAGTTTGTATTTACGAGTTGTAAATACGGATGTCAGCCTGCCTTCAACAAAGTGATAAATAAAGTGTGTTCTTGCATTTTTTTTAAATGTTTTTATCAAATTTATGAAGATGAAAGATTATCATTTCTGTCACATGTGTTTTTAAGCCTTGCCAATTGAAACATTCAAGCAGAAGAAGACGCTTCAGAACTTCAGAAAATGCAGTTGTCTTTCACGACTTCTTGCGCTTTAACGGACACATGCCCAATTGAAACATTCAAGCGATTTTAGGAGCCTTGCGCGGAGCTGTTTGCTGGATTTCTGAGCATTACTGTAGCGTGTATTATTGTAGCGTGTATTACTGTAGCGTGTATTATTGTAGCGTGTATTACTGTAGCGTGTATTACTGTAGCGTGTGTAGCGTGTATTACTGTAGCGTGTATTACTGTAGCGTGTATTATTCCCGGTGTGAGTGCTCGATCTGCCGTCTGATTCTCAAACACTGTCAGCTCATAAAACTCCTGAATATCTGTGGAAGAAACACACACACACACTTCATATTAAAATACCAAAAACACACTGCCAGTCTAAAGACTGGAATAATTCAGATGATTTAATGTTTCTGAAAGAAGTTTCTTATGCTCACCAATTTATTTGCTCAAAATACAGTAAAAATTGTGAAATATTATTACAGTTTAAAGCAGCTGTAAATCTCTGTTAAACTGTAATGTATTTCTGTGATGCGCAGCTGTATTTTCAGCATCATTACTCCAGTCTTCAG